TTCTATTTGCTAGGATTTTATTGAGGATTTTGGCATCTATGTTCATGAGGGAGATAGGCCTGTAGTTCTCTTTCTTAGTTGCATCTTTCCCTGGTTTAGGTATCAGTATAATACTTGCTTCCAGGAATGATTTTGGAAGGATTGCTTCCTTTTCAATTTCATGGAAGAGTTTGAGAAGTATAGGGACTTCTTTTTTCTTTTTTGCCTTTTTTTGTCATTGGTAGATAGGGTCTCAGTATGCAGTTCGAGATGGTCTTAAGCTGCCTTTTAGTCATGGCTGGCATCAAACTCATGACTACTGGGATTAGAAGCATGTACAAACTTGCCTAGCTTTTTACTTCTAACTGTACATTTTCAGTCTTTCCTTTCATTAAAAGTAAGATTAACTAAGAATATCTTCATTTTCTTCAAATTTCAAAAAATCAACTCCTGGATTGATTGATTTTTGTGAAATTTTTTCTGTCTCAATCTCTTTAATTTTTGCCCTGAACCTTATGATGTCCCTTATGCACTTCCTTTGTGTTCGGAGAGTTCTTGTGCTTGTGGCTGTTTCAGTGCATTTTATTTACCTATTGTGGTAACTCACTGTGATAAATAGCCCTGTGAAGACTCCATTCATTGGGTCCAACTGGTTCCAGACAGGCATTCTCTTTTGATTTTGGAAACTGCCTAATGACTTCTTTAGTTTAATGTGTGACCCATTGATTATTGAAAAGGATATAAAGCAAAATCACTAGCACCACCAGGAAAATGCAAGTGAGAAGATAGAGCTGTCAGAACAAAATAATAGGCTTTAAGGTACAAAGAATTTCAGAGAGCATAATCAGGACAAAAATCCAGGCAAATTGATAGAAGAGCAAATATAGACTGAAAGTGTTATATATTGAATAATTTCCTTTTACATTATCAGCAAAACATTGCAAAATGTAGGCATAAAGGACCCAACTTTTCTTGTATATTTGTTAAATATGTCTACCTAATATATTCAGAAGATACAAATATACAGATACTCATTTGACATTAATAGGGGATTATTAGGCAAAGATAAATAGAAAGATATGTCTCACTGTGGGTGGTAAAACTAAATATGACTGTTGTAATAAACTGAAGAAGAACCATTATGACATAATTATCACATCTAAAATGACAGAGATCGTACTATGAATATAACTAATATAACAAATTCTGCAAGTATGTTCTCTTGAATATTGCAAGTAGAAGGATAAGAAAAATGTCCAACCAACTATAAAAATATACTACAAGCAGAATATTTATACCTCTGTTTCTGTTCAGTAGGAAAAGAAAATGGAATGTACAAATTAATTCTGAGGCAGTCATCAAAAGAGAAATATTAGTAAATTAAAGACATTAGTAAAAATAATTTAGAGCCCAAGGAAAATATAATAGAAAGTGAATGATATAATTGTCTTTTCTATAATTACATTTATTTCAGACTTAATGAGAGCAGATGAAAACATTACTGTACCAAGAAAATTAAAGACATGGGGCTGGGGAGATGGCTCAGTGGAATAAGCACTTCCCTGTCAAGCACACGGGCCTGAGTTCAATCCCCGGTTCCAAAAAAAAACAAATAAAAACATGATTAGTTAAAAATGATTGCTCATGGTAGTAACTCTATTATTATGAAGGAAAAATGAGCTATTTATTTACTGAAGTAAAAATCATGACAGAAAAATGGTACAGATTTACCTGATAACATTTCCCTATATTTTAGGAAAATATATGTGTAAGCTTAAGGCTACCCTCTCCAAGAACGTGTTTTCCCTTTGATCCCTTGCAAAGAATATCTATCATTTTGAAATAAAATAATGTAACACTTAGGGGCAAAGATGCAGCCCAGCAGCCCTGCACTAGAGGCCAAGATGGAGAAGACCTCCATGGCCACCATGGCCTTCCCCTTGCTGCTGTGGTACACGGGCAGGAAGGTGACCCACACGCTGCAGAACACCAGCATGCTGAAGGTCAGGAACTTGGCTTCATTGAACGTGTCAGGCAGGTTCCTGGCCAGGAAAGCCACGCTGAAGCTCACCAGGGCCAGAAAGCCCAGGTATCCCAGGACACAGTAGAAGGCGGTGAGGGATCCCTTGTTGCACACAATGATGATGAAGCCATGTTCAGAGAAGGCATCTGTGTCGATGAACGGTGGACTTGTTCCCATCCAGACTCCACAGAGAGTGAGTTGGATCAGGGAGCAGATGGGGATGATGCAGTTAGGGGCCCCTGACACCAGCAACTGCCTCATCCTCCTGGTTGGGCCAGTGACCTTAAAGGCCAGCACCACAGTAATGGTTTTGGCCAAGACCGTGGAAACTGCCACGGTAAACACAATTCCAAATGTGGTCTGCTGCAGGACACAGGTGGCTGTGCTGGGCTGGCCAATGAAGAGCAAGGAGCAGAGGAAGCAGCAGGACAGAGAGAGGAGCAAGATGTAACTGAGACTGCGGTTATTGGCCTTGACGATCGGAGTGTCGCGGTGCTTCACAAAGAGCCCAAGAACAACCGCTGTGAGAGTGGTGAAGCTCAGGGCTGTGCCAGCCAGAGCCTTCCCCAATGCATCTTCATAAGCCAGAAACGTCACCGATTTTTGGAGGCAGTGTTTGCGATGAAGATCAGCGTACTGGTGATCCGGGCACTTCACGCATTCCTCCATACCTAGTGTGAAATGCCAGTTGGCATCTGTCCAACCTCAGCATTTCTTTATTCTTATCTCACCCCAACTCACATGGAAACAGGAAGGGGGAGGGAGGGAGAGAAAGTCTCATTGTTTGGTAAGCCTAATTTTTCCTCTCTGCTTTGCTAGATATGAAGAAAAACAATGTGAAAAAATGATAGAAGGAATAATTTGCAGCAAATAATTTCAAGATTTTTATGGCACAGAGAAAAGTACTCCTAGATCAGGTTGCCTCAAAAGACCGTGTTTATTTTCATGAAGCACTTCTACACTCACCACATAAACTCTATCTCTTCAAGTAGGAAAGACATTCAGTATCCAAGAACTTTAGAAAGTTGACCATAATGTTCTAAGTTCCAGGAAAGTAAACATTTCACAAGAAGTTTCAGTGTTCACCACAAAACATTGGCATTTTGATTACAATTTTGTTGAATATATCAATGTCAAAAATGTTATCTGCCATTATTTAGTCTTTCTATCCATGACCATGTCCAAAACGTCTTTCAATTTTATTGTTATAAATGCTTTTATGTCTTTTATTGGCAGATTTATTCCAGAATGTTATAAAATTTGTCACCAGTTTTAAAATGTAGTGAATGTCATCTTTTAAATTACTTTAATAAATACTTCCTGAGTGCAATATAGATGGAGGTATTCACAATAATTTTGTGTTTAATAACCTCAGAATCCAATCAATGTATCAATAAGTAACAAGAATTTTACATAATGATATTTTTGAGAAATAAAATCATTTATATTTCTTTCCTGGCAATATACTTTGCTTTTGTTTCTCTTCCTGAAAATACTGCACTGGCAATATTCTCACATATAATCTCAGGTGGAAGTGCTCAAATAAAAATTCTTTTTTCTATCTTACATTCATCATTCAATTTCAAAATGTAATATTTATTTTAGGAACCTTTAAATATCATTTTTCATACTAATGTTTCATTCTCTTGCTCAGTAAAAATTATATTTTTGCTTATTCATATAATCAGTTTAAAGAATTTATGCTTTTTACTTTTCAAAAACCTAATGTACTGAGTTCTATTTTATACAGAACTAATTGGTCTTGATATACTTCTAATCTCTGTACATTAATTTGAAATAAAGTATGAGAAATAGTTCAGGACAGAAAGCGGCTGCTATGGAATGTTTCTTGTAGTGGAAAATTCGGTATGGGTAAAAGAAATTACCTCTCCTCACATACTAGGTAGAGTATCACCATTTTTCATTTCCTCTGAAAGGTCTAGTGGAGATCAGGGTTACTTTGTTCTTCCATGCATACAAATTGCCTACATACAGGGGGACTCTTAATAGTTGTTAAAATATAAAAATACTTTAATGGGCTTTTCCAACGACCTGACAAGACAGCGGAAGTGGAGCAAAAGAAGAAGCGAACCTTCCCCAAGTTTACCTACCGCGGCGTGGACCTCGACCAGCTGCTGGACACGTCCTGCGAACAGCTGATACAGCTCTGCAGCGCTCGGCCGAGGAGGGGGCCGAACCGTGGACTACAGCAGAAGCAGCACTCGCTGCTGAAGCGTCTGTGCAAGGCCAAAAAGAAGGCAGCACCCCTGGGGAAGCCCGAGGTGGTGAAGGCAACCCTTCGCCACACGATCATCCTGCCCGAGATGGTGGGCAGCATGGTGGGTGTCTACAACGGCAAGACTTTCAACCAGATGGAGATCAAGCCTGAGATGACTGGCCACTACCTGGGCGAGTTCTCCACCACCTACAAGCCCGTGAAGCACTGCCGGCCTGGTGTTGGTGCCACTCACGCTTCACGCTTCATCCCCCTCAAGCACCACTTGGCCAACAAAGCCACCACTGCTCCCCCCCAAAAAAAAAGACTTTATTAGTGAAGGTGTTACTATAGTGACTTAAAATTTTTATGCTATTTTTTCTGAAGATTTGTGAGTTTCTTTTAAGTTTTCAAATGACATTTTGTGAAATAATTTATATGATATTTTCACTTGAAAAATGTTGATATTTGTGAAATTACCCTCTTGTTAATTGTCGTACTTGTTTTCCAATAATTGACTTTGTACTTGGTTAAGCTTACTAATGTCACTGATTGGCTTTTAAATTAGATTCCCTTTTTCTTTATACACTGTGCTTCTTTTCTTAACATTTCCTGTCTATTATTTTATGTTCTTCCATTTGCTTTATGTTGAGTTTGCTTGACTGTACGATGACATTATTTAAATACATGTAACAAATAACTGTATGTAAGATACATGTTTTTGTATAGTCGTTAAGTTCATCTTGGGAATTTTGTAAATATTGTAATTATATCATATTACATCTGTTTTAATTTCTCTTATAACTAGAGTTTATTGCATTTTACAAACTACAAAGATACAGTAATTGAAGTTTCTGGGTGCCTTGTGTTCTCTACGTGCACATAGAGCACATTCATGGAAACACCATATTTGTAAACTGTGTACAGTTTAGCCGTCTTAGTGATCTGCATGGAGCAATGTGCAGTCTCAAGAGTTTCCATACTTTTCTACTGGATGGTTAAGACCAAGGTAAGATGAAATATAGGAAATAAAGCCATGCTGTTGTGTTGAGCTGTGCGGGACTCAGGTCAATAATTTCTGACATTGCCAGTTAAACAGGGGACCCAATGCTATTATGGGCTACTGGACTCTTTTAGAATATTTTGCTGAGTTTACACACCTATAATATTCAATAACAGAACTTAGGAAAAATGGGGTATACTGATGAATGTCCATTTTGTATATGTGTATTCAAAGAGGTTAGGATAGATATATAGTTGCATTCTCTTAATGAATAGAATGATTTGTTCTAATGGTGTTTGTAAATAGGATCACAAGTCCGCATCTTGTACAGCAATTAACCACTAAGAAGAATATATGCAGTGTAGTATTTGTTGAAACTGTACTTCCGATTTGATTTGAAACTGTCTCATTGCTATCTGTTTATCAATAAAACTTTGAAAAGAAAGAGCTTCCAAACAAACTTGAAATTATGCTGTGTGTTTTAAACTTTAAACATTGATCAGCAACAAAACTCCAAGTTGCTCCATACTTAAAACGGAGGTGATTCACAATGTCAGTTTATGTGTTAAAACTTAAGGTATTTTCAAGGTGATAATTACAGTCCACAGAAATCTTTTACACTGGGTTTCTGTGCCAGTTTTATTCAATAGTACTGCTTGTCTTTATTTTTTGTGTGTTTTAATGTCACTGACTCTTATTTTAGGTCCTTTAAATATTCTATGTTGAGAATGTGCCATTTTAGTTACTTCTGCTAATTGTAAGAATTTATTTCACTATTCATCTTTGGGGTAGAATATAAAGCTACTGCCTGTGTAAATCTGTCTATGATTCATTCCTCAATATATAGATGCTATTGCTTATTAATTTCCATAGTGCATATGCATGTCCTTAGTTCATTTCTGTGGCATGAATGCTAGTGTATAACATTAGTTGTCTTCCTTATAGGCAAATTCTAAGATAGCAGGGAGAAAATTCTACTTTTTTGTGTGTGTGTGGAACTGGGGATTGAACTCAGACCCTTGTGCTTGCCAGGGAATCACTTATTCCACTGAGCCATCTCCCCGGGCCCTGGGAGAAAATTGTAGTAGTTAAATGCATGCTGTACCTTGAGTGTGTTATACCTGAGGACATATATGTGTCCAAATCTGCTTTATGGCAGTAAATGGGCCTGGCAAGGGAAATAAGGATGAGCCATAACTTTGTCTTCATTGTCACCTATATGTGGTTGCAAAGATAAAGATATCCTACTTAATATGGCTCTGTGTTAAATTTCACAATTTAAAAGAGGCAGAACTTAGAAAACAATCAGTAGAGAAAAGAGGAGTTCTTAAAGAAAATAATACTTCAAATACATTAGAAAAATTATTTGAAGAAGCCAGGTGTGGAGACACATGCCTGTTACCACAGAGACAGAGGGCACTGAGGTGGGAAGATTTCAGGTTCCAGCAATTTGTTGAGAACAGGTCTCAAAAAGTGATAGAGAAACAGGTCACTGGCCATGTCCCTGGATTTAATCCACTGAGAGAGAGAGAGAGAGAGAGAGAGAGAGAGAGAGAGAGAGAGAGAGAGAGAGACAGAGATAGACAGAGACAGACAGAGAGACAGAGAAGAAAAGAAGAAAGAAAAAAGAAAAAAGAGAAGACAAGACAAGAGAAAAACATGAAAGGAAAAAGGAAAGAAAAGGAAACAGAAAACAAACTTCATCATAGAGTACAGCCTCAGGGACACAGAGATTATATGCAGACTGCTCAGTGTTGAATACAAAAATGAAATTATCAACTGAAATTTTTCTTGCTCTTCAATATTTTAATTCACTTCTTAGATGAATGATGGCACATGAGAGAAGGAAAGGGAAAGAGAAAGAAAGAAAGAAAGAAAGAAAGAAAGAAAGAAAGAAAGAAAGAAGAAAGAAAGAAAGAAAGAAAGAAAGAAAGAAAGAAAGAAAG